AGCCAGTCAGACCATATAATTAATAGACAGGTATGTACTTACACCAGGTGCTCTTTATCCCAAGTGTCGAAGTTGTACCGGTTCCACCCACCGGCAGCCTTGTGAGCGTTGGCACGGACCTTAGCAACGAGTTCATCACGCTTGCCACTCTGAGGGATGGGAATGCTTCGGGCATCAAGGAACGCCTTCAGGCGGGAGTCAGACCAGCCATTCAACGCAGCCTCGAAAGCATCCTCAATCTTCAGCTTGGCATAATCGGTAGCGCGTGCATATTCGTTCCCAGCCTTGGTAGTAGCAGCGCCAAACGTCTCCTCCGCAGCGGAGGAAGCACTCGACACCTTGCCGGAAAGATAGGAACGGTTCTTCCGGGCCAAAGCAATGAGTTCATTGCGCTTCGAGCCTTGAGGCACCTTGACATTGTGCTCGTCAAGGAATTCCTTCAGCTTCGAGTCGGACCAGGCGTTGAAAAGCTGATCGCTCAGTGTCTCCTTGGCAGCCTCAGCCTCAGCGGATGCAGATGCAGCAATGCTCTGGGACTGCAAGCTAATAATGCGCGAGTTGCGGCGAACAGACGCAATGAGCTTGTCACGATCGGACGGCTGGGGCGCCGGCCATCCACGCTCGTCGAGCCATTCCTTGAGGTCCGAGTCGGACCACTCCTCATACAGCCAGTCTCCGGGGTAGGAAGCCGTTTCACCAACCTTGGTGGCGATCTTCTCATAGTTCTCACGTACGGTCTTGATCAAAAGGTCACGTCGGCGGGGCTGGGGAGCAGGAATGCCGTGGCGATCAAGGAATGCCTTCAGCTGAGAGTCGGACCAACTATATACCAAGTCAGCTTTGACTCACAACAGGGAGATATGAGCACCTTACGTATCAAAGACCCATTCTCTGGCATGGTGGAGCTCATGATTGATGTTCTCCCCAGTTTGCCCAAGGGGCTTCTGCACTCTGTTATCCCAGTTGGCCTTCACCAGGTTCTCCAGGTCACGGCGGTCGGCAGGGCTGGGATGAGGAATATCTGTATGAAATGTGAGTATATGAAGCTGATAGAAAAAGAAGTGCTACATACTATGGTCCGAGAGCCATCGCTCGAGCTCGGTTTCATGCCATTTGTTGTAGACTGCCAATAATCTTAGCTTGCAAAAGGGGATCTTTGTACTCAGGACAACATACTAGCCTTGCTCCACCAACTGGAAGCTGCCACTACTTCAGTGGAAGCGAGCAAGCAGAGGAGGCCAGTGGCCAAATTCAGCTTCATTGTGTGTTGTATTGGACAAAATGATAGGAGTATTTCAGTGTGCAGGGAGAATAAAATATGGATATGCCAGTGAAGAGAAATAGAAACATTGGAAGATTTTAAAGAGAGCTGCAACAGCAAGAAAGGGCCAAGCATGGATGATTGCGCAGTGACGTAGTTGGGGAATTTGCCTTGGATTGAGCTGAAGTGCATGAATCATCAGTTCATTGTATTCTTCGTACGTCTAGAACATGATCAGAACTGTTTCAGTGAGTATTTTAAATGTATCTGATGTATAGTACATACATATACTATATACATGGCCACTTTTGATCTATAATACTCTCTTGCTCTATGTTGTCTATCCAAGTTCTCTATGGATTACCTAATATGGTTTAGCGTCCACGGGTGTCTATTTTAGTTTAGAGGTGAGGCCTATCTGTGGACTAATGCCTGAATTACAAGGCAACTAAACAAAGTTGATGCTTGATGCCTTAATCACCCTCTAATGGCAGCAAGACTAATAAGCTCCTATCTAAGGACCAAAGGTAGTATACTCTCCGTCGATCTCTATCTAATATCTACATATGTAGTCTTTTCTCTGCTTTCGTCCGTCTACTTTGTCCGTCTAGATCTAAGATATATTTGGTCAGGTCAGCATATTAGAAGTAAATAGTCAAGAAGTGGCCCTTTTATTTTTTACACCTGATATCCAAGGATACATGTATGTAACATCGTCATCTTTTTGTTCTACGATGTATGTTGTATGTGAGCACTGAGGCCGTATAGTTGTAGTTCGAGGCACTAATCCTAACCAGGGATAGCTAGAACTCGTAAGGCACCAAGGCAGAAAGATAGTAAACTAAAGAGCGGTGCCCAACGAGGTACTCAAGGTCATAATATCTTGGGAATTCCTTTTCTTTGTTTTTGTAAATAGCGTTTGATTTCCCTCTCATCTCGTTGAAGTAGAAAGTAAAATCTCCAATGTGACGAATTGGTAGTAATCAGCTGTTGTCACGAGCTCCCGAACCCCCCGACCTCCTCATTTGAGCTTCATACATTTGGAAGTCCACCACAATGGACCCATCAACACCCTACTGCCGCGGGCTGGCCTCGCCAGGCATCTTCCAACCTGTGCTATCTGTGTACGTGCCCCAAATCCGAAACTAACAGTCCTCCAGTCACTGACGTACCATATAGTTTGATTATCATAGGCATCCTCTTCTCATACCTCCCCCAACACATCCGTATCATCTCCCGACGAAGCTCCTTCGGCATCTCCCCATATTTCATCCTCCTAGGGGTAACATCAGGGACATCGGCCTTGGCCAATATCCTGGTATTCCCATCCACCGCACAAGATGTCGCCTGCTGCCAGGAGATCAGCGGGATTGCATGCTTCGCAGGGTTATTGGGTGTATTCCAAGTGGCCATGCAATGGCTCTGTTTCTTTTCCATGTGAGTCGACCGAAATACCAAGTGATTTCTGATTTCCAATTCCCAATTCCCGACCGAACCCACACCCAAGCTTGTCTAACCGTATCTAGTCTTTTGCTATTCGTGATCTACTTCCCGCGCGCCACATCCCCCACAGACCCAGTGGGCACCGTGCCTTCCACCTCCAGCGGTCCGACCTACCGCACTGCGCTCGTCATAACGGGACTATGTCTACTGCATGCGCTTGCCATAATCATCATTTCCCTAGCGTTCGAGCTGCGCCAGCCGGCCGCTGTTTCGGCCTGGGCGAACTTCCTCGGTGTTCTAGCTGCGATCCTCGCGTCGATTCAGTACTTCCCACAGATTTACACTACCTTCCGGCTGCGGTGCGTGGGGAGCTTGAGTATCCCCATGATGTGTATCCAAACACCGGGAAGTCTTATCTGGGCTGCTAGCCTGGCTGCCCGCAAGGGTTGGAGTGGATGGAGTATTTGGGGAGTGCTAGTTGTCACGGCCTGCTTGCAGGGTACCTTGTTGACGATGGCAATCTATTTTGAGTACTTTGGGTCCAACAACAAGCGGGAGTTTGGGCAGCCGGTTAATCAGAATGGGGCGCCCAATGGATCGGCTCTTACTGGTGAGAGTGCTCAGCAAGAATTTGCACATGACGAGCGGCCATCCGAGGAGACGCCGCTACTTCAGAGCCAGTGATGTGCGCATAACATATTTGCTGCGTATTTCTTTTATAGTGCTAGCTCGTAGCTTGATAGAGAAATCCCATACAGTTCTAGAATGATCGGCGATCCAAAAAAAATAAATCCTTCATAAATCCTTCCATGGGAATATCGCAAGTCGAGGGGTGTCACTTGCGACAAAACAACAGATATCTAACCCGATCGCCTCCAAGGAATATCCTCCTCACAAGAAAGCACATCCCCCTGTCATTGCGTCGTGGTATTTGTTTCAGGCCCCGTAATTTACTGGGCGCTGTAGATCAGACGGAAGACATCGTTGAGCACAAAGTAGCTTCCGGCGCCATCGGGCTGCAGCTTGAAGCACTGGGTGTAGTTCATGGGCTTCTGCTCCTCGTCAACCTGTTGATAGAGAGAGTGGCATTAGCTAAGAAAGCAGAAGAAGTCATGGAAATTCAACATACAAGCAGAGCACCGGTAACCAGGACAACGATTCCATCTCCGCTGGAGGGCTGAGCGTCGAAGGTGGCAATCTGGTGCTGAACCTTCTGGAACGGGAGAGCCTAGAATTGCAAAATCAGTATTGGAATATTCTCCTCATCTTAGCCCTCGTGGGTCAGGATTTTGGGGTTAACTAACACCAAGCTTCTCAGTGATGGCAGAGACACCCTGGACCGAGCTTGTCTCGAAGGTAAGCATAGACTGGTCACGCTATTGGTTAATGATTGCTGTTAGTCCACATTCCCATATATCTTGCTTGTAAGGATATCTCGAGAGCGGGGCTTACGTAGAGGCCGGCCAGGCCAGCGCGGTTTCCGTCAAAGGTCTGGTAGTAGAACTGCACAAACTGCTCTGTATAGGTTGATCACAAGTTAGGACATGAATCTTTGTGTATGATATAATATCCATCTCTTGGGGCATCATTTCCACCTAGGGTGACAGGGTCGTTGGGGAGAGGCGCATTGCTGGATGTGTATGGATGAAGCAGGAAAGTAAGGGTATAACGTACGAGCGATAGCGTTGAAATCTATATGAATGACCAAGCTTGTTAGTCAATTTCCCATCTGTATGTTCACTTTTTTTTTTTTTTTCACCAAGTTCCCAACGCATTGCGCAACATAGCCACACACACGCTGGGATCCAAACGATCAGACCCCTCCATCCTCTCTGGGAGGGGTATATATGAGCCAAGTGGGAGAGAAAGACATACCAGCCATTTTGAAAGAAGTTGTGAATTTAGAATGAAAGAAAGAAAAAGGTGATGCGATTGTATTTGAAGTGTGTACAAGGGAGTTGAGCGCGAAAGGAGAAAGGTATTTGTTGATGAGGGGTTGTGGGGCAGGAAATGTTCTGCCGATGATCCATGGATGCCTTGCTGCCTTACGTATTGAAGAGCCTCTGCTTTGACAGGTATAGTTAACTACAACATATGTACTACTCTCTCGATCTATATAACCTTGGAAGAGAAAAACATTTTAGATAATCATTCATAGTTCATTGTTAATCATTCATTGTTAATCACATTATTAATCACATTGTTAATCATTACAAGTATCTTTCAGGTATCATCCGATGCTATCCATAATCTGTACGATTAAAATCGTGCCCAACCTTACTCCGAATCCCCAACCTTACTCCGAATCCGAGGCAAACATGTCTTCAGCTTTGGGTCGTGGCTTTCGTCGTCGTGTTTCTGGCTCCTGCTGCCCAGCTGATTGTTCGGATTTGTCAGATTGAATTGGGTGCTGGGGTAGCTGCTGGGGTATCTCGGGTTGGGTATCTTCATCGCCTGATGGCGGAGCCTTAAGCATGAATTGTCCATCAATGTTCTTCAAGTGACGAACTTCCATTGGAGTTCCATCCATTCCATGCACCGATTCGTCCACTGCGCTGGTAGAGGTAGACAGATTGTTCTCATTCGCAGGTAGAGTAGGGTCGAACTTTCCACCCCGCTCATCATCAACTGTCTTCCATCGACTCTTGCTTTTGGCAAATGCAGCAGCAGCCTGATCTGCGTGAAGCTTCTCCGTCTCCTTCTGCTTCTGTAATTCTGCCTCGGTAGGTGGTGGATTTTCAAAGATATTGGAGAAATGCTCCTGGTTCGATAGCGTGAAACAATTGTATCCTTCCCACAACTGTAAAACGGAGCCAACGCTGCGCTTCCACTTCTCTGCTTTCAGTCGTCCCCATTTCATGTCCTTACCCACTCGACCGAGGTGCTCAAACACCTTGCGCGAGCGAAGAGCGTTTTCGAACAGCTGGCGGTATCGCCATGCATGGTGGACGCCACTGCCTGTCGACGACAAAATAATATCAGAGATGATGTAGAGGCCAACCAGCTTCGCGGAAGACATATCCAATAATTCATCGGATGGGGTTGTATTGTCCACCGCAAGTCTAGCAACACTTTTCAACCAGCCTGGGTTGGCTCCGGTGTAAGCGAATGGCCGGAAAACGTTTCGAATAGCCATATCGACAACCTCGGATGCCCCGATTGTCGCGTGTTCCATGGCGAATGCTGAGACTCGCGCAACATCTCCTCGTCGGAGCTTTGTATTGGTCGTCGGAAGTCGTGCAAAGAAATGAGTAAGTTTGGCCATCTTCAAGGGGTTCAAGAAGTGAGTTCCGTCCCCAAAGTTCCGTCCTTCATATTCTCCATCCGAATGTTCTTCGTCAGATGAGTTGTAGTCGGGGTGTGTCACAAGTTGGTCCAGGCGAGTAACGTTCTCAAACTTGAGATGCTGCTTGGGGGGTAACCAGATAGAATCATCCTCAAAGATCAAAGCCGGCTTATCAATGTTCTTTGTCTCGGGGTCTGTGATTACCTGCCACAATTTCCACCGGTAGTATACACCACCAGGCGACCTTGCATCGAACAACCAGGCCCACTTTTCGTCCGTCTGGACTTCTGGCCGACTCATTAACAGTGCCTCAAATCCAGGACCTTCTTTCACGAGTTGGTTGATGGTTTTGTGTATCTGGATTAATACTCTGAGGTCTGTCGGTAACTTCACCTGCACCTGAGTAGTTGGGCCATTTCGACGGACGTTTGGTCCATACGAGCTTGGGGGTGCGAATCGCCCGCGATGTGGCCCAGGTGGTGGAGCCCGATTCAAGCTTGTGCCGGAACTCGGTGGAATATTCTCGGCGCCAAACGGAAGAGAAGTAGGAGTCGACGAGATGCCGGTGGGCAAAGGCGCGTCTGGGTTGATTGCAGTAGAAGAAAGGTATCGACAGAGGGACAGGTAGTACCCCCGGCCAAGGTATTCGTTCTGTAACATGTTGACAGCTTTGTCAATATCAGAGGTGGCCGAGTCGCTTGCGAGGGTGATGAGTGCAGAACAGGACGCCCGGTGGGTAGTCTGTCCGGGTGGGGGGATGATCCTGATATTGTCCACGGTGAGGGTCGAGGGGATCAACGCGTTAATTATGGACAGAGATGTGTAGGGGGAAGTGACGTAAGGTGCAACGTCGGCTTGGGAGCTGCTCTTTCCTCCTCGCTAAGTGCTCTGTCGGCTTCAGATGGAGTAAGCAGGTCGCGATGGGAGGGAGTACTTCTGTGTGGGGGGAATGTTCCCTGGACCCTGCCGCGCGAAGAGGAAGCTGCGAAATGACGCCTGGGAGGATCCTTGCGTCTGAATGCTCCATCCAATGACTGCGGTACAACCAAATCCTCGTCTTCGAAAGATTTGACAAATTCTTCATAGACTGCAGCTGTCTCCGCTTTTTCCCGGGCGCGTTTGGCCTCCGCCTCAGCTTTTTGACGTTCAAAAAGTGATTTCTTTGGAAGTGCGGAGAGTTTCGCCGAGACATCAGGGAAGCTCGTCCCCTTCGACTCGTCAGGCATTATGAGAGTGGACTGCAACTGCAGCAAAAGTAGCTAGCCTCAAACACAAGCAGGACGAAGTAATTTGAGCAAAATCCGAAGAGACAGCAGTTGTAGAAGAGCTGGAAGAAACATCATCTTCAGTAAACAACTTAATTACGCGATGCTATACTAGGCGGTCGGGCTTAATCCAATCAGCGGTCGATGCTTTTGGCACGTGCATACACAGTACTTTTACTCCGTACAGTAACAAGAGTTTGGGCGGTGACGGTTAGGCGGTGATGATGATGATGATGATGAATGGTCATGGTTTCTTCATGGCTGTCTCTGATTTTGCTCAAATTGCTTCGTTCTGCTTGTGCTTGAGGCTGGCTACTTTTGCCCAACTTTTAAAAAATTAACACAGTATTCATTTGCAAAAATGCTATATAACATACTACGCTAATTGTAATCTTTATAGAGTAGGTGTGAAGGCCCGCTATGAAGGGGCCTTTATGAGGGGCTGATCAGAGTGCCAGAGGCCAGATACGATATGCAATACTACAGCGAAGCAATTGCAACTAGTACTGCGTGTGTATTCAAACTGAACTATGAACCTTTGTCCATAGTTCCGAATCCACTAGTATACAATGTGCAAAGACCTAAGCGAGGTTATGTGAATCGGGGTCTATATATCTGTGAAGACCCTTCATATGCCTATACATGCCTGCGTAGACCCCGACGACCCCGAAGGTCCCCGATTAGCAGCAATCACTGCCTGGCACGTCAATAGCATACTAGTATCAATCAGACCAGACAGGAATTCCTCCGGTGCAGTATCCTACCTAGTCCTCATAAATCACACCACAAAGCTTTGATAAAGGAAAGTGCTGATCTTTATACTTTCTCTCAATCTGTGCCTCCTTAATGGGGTTTAAATCAGGCAAAAAGGTGTGCTATTCTATCGCAATGACCCCAAAAGTCGATTGAGTAGAGAGTTAAGCAACTTAAGCCACAGAAGCTAAGAAAGAACTGAGAAATCTGACACCCTCCACGAACATGGAACCATGGATTTGTGTGTCCTCCCTCGCCACGAAGAAACAAACCTAGTTGTTGAAGAGGTTTTTGTAGCGTATGATGGGGTTGCTAAGAGCATTGGCTGTAGTGGGCTTGTTGGTGGTAGTGGAAGCCAGAGTGTTAACCACGTTAGCTGACTTGGCGTTAGCGGGGTTCAGGGTGTCTAGAGCGTATTTGTGTGCTGTTGACCACGATGCGAAGTTAGATTCGCCGGTGAGGGTAGGAACGAGCTCTGAGAGGTTTGGCTCTGCGAAGCTAATTGCTGAAGATATTCTGAAGAATAGGGTACGTCGAATGGAGAGGTACTGACTGTGTGGGTAGCGGATGGAGGGGTGCGTCGTAGGAGAGGTACTTGTGTGGGATGAGAGAAGCCCTCGGTTAGGGTATGTTGAGATTGATTGTATGTGCTTGTGGGGTAGCCTGGCCGGTGATATCGATGGTGACGATGATTATGGTGTCTATGGAGGGGCCGCTAGAGGATCAATATGGTGACGGTGTCGCCGGTCGGTGGACGGGCCGATGGACGGGCCGATGGACGGGCGGAGGGGCCGATGTTTGTGGGGTGGCCTGGCCAATGATGTCGGTGGTAACAATGAGTCGATGGAGGGGCCACAAGATGAAGATGATGAGGACGGTTGAATAGAACATCCAGGAGCTCATAACCTGTTAGAAGCGTTAAGCTATAATAAGAAATCTGACAGACGTTCACCTGAATAGGAAAAATCAATGTGAGAACCCATCGTTGGGATTGCCATGAAAATGTGAGCATCTTTGTTTGTCTGCAGAGCGCCACAATCCTAGTACTTAATTTGGGAAAGTCAGGTCGTGCTAACGATCCACAATAGCCTCCCATCATAGGAGGAAGGACCATACTAAGCTAGCTACATAGCTTAGCAGCTACCTTAGTAGCTAGCTTAGTAGCTACCTCAGCAGCTAGCTTAGCAGCTACATTAGTCCACCCGAGATGGCTGCAACAAGCAGAGAGCCACCACGCTTAGTGTGATGGCCAAGGCCACGGAGAGCTAGAGGTAATTTCCGTTAATTATAGGGCCCAATTTACCATGTTACTCACCGACTCAAACAAAGAATAAAGTCATGGGCCATGGCCACTGAAGCATATCCCTTCGTGGTCATGGTGGCCGCTGAAAAGACGCAGCAGCAGAGGATTAAGTACGCTGCCGGCATACACCGAAGCTTGGAAGCCTTCATCATCATCAAGCCAGTATCTATAAAACGGTTGAAAGCGTAGAGGCGTTGCGCAATAGTAAGAAAGTCAGCTAGGAAATAACTGTTAGAATTCAACACGGTCTTTTCCATGTAACTTGTATGACTCTGCAGAGGTTTTGCCAGCTTCCTTGGAAAAGTTAATGAATAACCAGCGACGGCCACTTGTGCTCCCACATAGCAGATCTAGCTCCATACGCCGAAGAACATATTATATTGCTTTTCTAAATAGGTTAGTGTTTTCACCATGTTCAATCTGGGTTTCCAGTACTTCCTGGTCTGAATCTGTGATCTCGGGAAAGGGAGCTAACCAGAAGAGAATGATAAGCAGAGCGACAAAGCAGGCCACCCCACGATATGTCCACTGGACACTATGCAGTCCAGCATTGTCATCCATGATGTTTGCAAAGAAGACACGAGAAGCAAGAAGGGGCGCAACAAAGGTCTCCCTAGACGGCCTATCCTAGTTTCAGACGGATCTCGCTATACTCTGGGGGTCAGCATATTGAGAGGAAGGGATCGGCTGCAGTCTCGAGTGTGGATAGCTCAGCACCAATAACCTATTGATAGGGTTAGAGACATACTCTGCGAGTTGCTCTATTTCACGTACCAACATGCTACCGCAAACTCCACCAAATGACTTTTTTCACCTCACTAGGCTAGAAAAGCAGACATCTAACAGCTAGCATGGCAAGGCCTGGCTCAAAAAGGACATGTCGCCTGCAAATATGGATTCCGAGTTATCTTCAAGACAGGTAAGAGACAGGAGGTTGCTCCCAAGTATCTATTTGTATCGCCATCTGATAAAACCGGGTATAGTTACGTACCTAGGTAGTATGCAGATGAAGTAAGCACCCAAGTAAGAAGCTTGTAGCCCACTGGACTTGCTAGCGGTGATGTTGAGGATTGTTTAGAAATGAGAATTCAGAACATCCAACAGTCCGTACGCAAATCCTTAAAGAACAAAGAGGATCATGGCTACGGGACCAATGTTAGAGGTCTGTCGTCGAACACACTGAACAGATATATAACCACCTAATGCATTTGGGAGTCGAGACTGCCGATGTGACGGCATTATCCTCAACAGTGATCTTCCGCTTGAAAATACTCATGATGGCCCGTTGAATTATGGACAAATATAGACTTGTCCATAATGCAAACATGCAACAAATTGGAGGCAATGAACAAGTTGGATTTTATAAATAAACCTCGGGGTTTCCCCAGCTCCGCATGGCGCTACGAGGGTTCCGGCACCGGGATAATGCATAGCGAAGCCACACAATTCGCTCCAGATCAGCTGTCATTTGACCCTAGCTCACTAGCAATTATCTTGTATTACATACCAAAGCAGATAGACCTATCAGAATCACGAGCCGTACAGTGTGCAACATGGCCTTTTGGAACCCCAGATTATCTCAACGCCTTTCTAGCGAGGTTGACCGGAAAGGGCATAATATGTGGGCAGAGACCTAGCGCTAAGACCATGCCCAACACCAATGAATTAATATCATCGGACTCCATCAAAATACAGGGAGTTCTAAACATGGCAAGTGTTTGAGCCCCAAACCTCCGCAACCTCTCCACAACCGAAAACGCTTCGTATTCGGTCCACTAACCCAGATGAAATACCCTGCACGCGCTAATTGGTTTTTAGGGAAGCTACTCGTCCACCAACAGCTCGGCTATTCTCTTCTGGAGGTGCATATCCTGTCCAATCGAAATATGACGGTCTCTGAATCGCATGTTAAGGCCTTACTTCGTAGGGCTCTTGGATCTCGTACCGTCATCATTGGACCGATGAGCCGAGCAGAGTATAGGGTTATAGTCAAGCAATTTAGTAAATTTCTCTTGTACTATGTCACGCTTGCTTTCAATTGCAGTCTGAAATATGTATGCGTTAGAAAATCATCCGAGGATGGATGACCCTGAAATTTACAAACGCGGTATTTCCAAAGGGAAACCAAGCAAGCGAGGTTTCTTTTGCGTGATTCCTAACATTCATGTGTGAAGTTGAAGGCCTTTTATATGTCTAATAGCTACGTGCTCCGCGATAGAGTTGGATCTACATCGGATCATCGCCCATACTCCACAAATTGGGGCGCTTGGTGGACCACCTCGAATGTCTCAGATGACGCAGCGATGGGCTCCGCGATGTACTGTATCATATTGATGAATTGGGTTGGGTGCAAATAAGAGCGTATACGATGCGTTTGATATTATATTATATGAAGGTTAAGCTGAAAGCTTTTTTAGATCTGTCAACCATTGCATATTCCTATATCCTATTGAAGCATTTGAACGATATTTATTTTCTTTGGGGAATAACTGATTTGCACTTCGCATTTTCGTTGTTGCAACCTATGTTATGAATCTTGATAGAGAAACGTGGTTGATCTAGACGTGATCAAGGCTTGCATAGCATTTACGATGTAAGCCACCAATAATGGCCAGGATATTGAGTAGTTAGTTACACTGTGTCAAACCTACATTTATGGAGTGAGTTTTATGGTATTTGCTAATATATAGAAGGGGGGATATGGAGAGCTCTTATAGCAACGGGTATTGAGAATTTCCCACATGGATAGTTATTGTAGATCTAGATGCAAGTCATGGATGAACCAGGTCTAGACGTCTCAGGTTCTCTTGAAATGATAGTACATACTCCGTACCTAGGTAGATACCAGGTGGAAATCAAAATGGAGTCAGATGGAGTCAGATGGGGTTGGCCCTGGATGGATTCCGTTACGCACGCAACCCCGTGCTAGAGGGGCTAGACCGAAGAAGCTGTTACAGCCGTTTTCTCGTCTGTGTCGAGACCGAATATCGTAACCTTTTTGGGTAGAAATAAAGAGGCCCCCCGTGGATACGATGTCCGATAATCTTCAAGCCCTATAGCCAATATAATCGATTTTATGAGATCGATTAATCAGGTATGTACTCCGTACCCTACTCTGACAACTTTTGGTTCAGCCGCAATATCTGTGAATAGGGGATGCCCTAGGGGATCGTCAGGTCACCTATCATGATCATGATCATGATCGATGAACAATTCTGCAACTCTCGGATTACGATTAGTCCACAAGACATGTCGAGATAATCAATAATTCGCCCCTGATGTCTGTTGAATTTTTTTTTTGGCGAATCCATTCTCGAGAGCCTAAAGATTTGGTTCGGCAGGGTCCAGTTCTCCAGTTCCGTGGATTCCAGACCAGTTTGGTATTCTCACGTGAGAAACCGTTTCAAATTCACTTGTACTCCCGAGGTCTGTACTCTATACAAAGGAAAAGAAAGCAAAAGAACGTTGGAAACTTCAAATTTCTAGAACTACGACCTAGAACCTGTATTATTTCCGTATCTGGAGATAGTAGAAAATATCAAAATAGCACAATAAATAGTATGCAAAGTGGCGAAGTCGATTTAGGCCCACCACAGACGGGATGGGCTCGCTAGTTGGTCACCCTAGTCTCAGTAGCGTATTGTTGTAGTAGCGCAGTTAAGAGTCCCAGACACGGAGTAGATCATAGTACTCCGTACATTATTATATACTAGAATATATAAAAGCGAGAACTTTTTAAATAAAAGAAAAGAAAAGAAAAGAAAAACACAAATAGAAAAAAAAACAATAACAAAGCAAATAGTTCCCCCCCAAAAGTTCCCCCCAAAAGGTCCAAATTCAAAAAGCCAAGAATTTCAGTTGGTCCGAGTGGTTGACTTCTCTCCCCCGGCTCCCCTCAGTAAACTCGTCACACTAAAGTCTCAAACTCCTCCCTTCCCTTCTCCCAACTTGACTTTCTCATCCTACAAAAACATCTTCTCTCATCTATAATACAAATCTCTTCTGACTCTTTATCATCTTCGAGTTGGAGAGTCTGCTATATCTGCTCCCCATTCCCTCGCCCATCCTCGCCCGGGTAGCGAAACGGATTGATCAAACAACGAGGTGGCCCGACAGGGCTGCCAGACCGATAGGAAATGTCTGGTCATATTTCATCAGAGCATTCTCGCTCTGATTCACGATCCTCTTACCCGCCACGATCCCCCGGGGATTCGACACCTCGCCACTCCTTCGGTCGCACCTCCAACTCCAATCCAAATGTCTTCGCAGACGAATACTCATTGGAAGCCATTGACTCCGATCGAATCGAACGACCCCACAGTCCCTCTTCTATTGCATCCTCCTCTACTCTTCGTGAAAACACCCAGTCAAGGACCATTAGCACAGCCCCGACCGAGAACGAGAACCCTTTTGGTGATGATGCTCGGGTGTCCTTTGATGAACCTCACCGGTCAAGTCTGCCCCAAAAGGGGTACGCTTTCGCCAACAACCGTAACTCAACCTCATCTCTCAACTCGACGCCTTCTATGATCCAACGAAATCAAAGTGTTTCTTCTCGTTTCTCGATTCCCCGCGCTCTCAGCCCTTACACCGGAGCCACCGGACCCAGCCATCCATATGGTATGTATCCACAAGTTGGGGTCAGTCGGTCGCCCAGTGTAGGTAGTACTTCGACAATACGCCCAATTGAACGTCCACTTGAAGAATCAACTGGTCCACAGCACCCCTACGCGATGTACTCGCAGAATGTGGTGGAGGAAGGAATGGATGACGATATCATCCCAGTCGGATTTCCAGGCCATAACCCACCATATCAACCGCCCGCTGGTCGGCAGGCTGATGATGTGGGTGATATCATTGGACCGGATGGTCATGCAGAGCCGCTACCACCCTATTCCCGTTATCCAACCGGTGCAGTACCCAAGCCTCCAGGGGCTGAGACGACGGCCGATCCCAGCACACCACCAGAGGAACAACGCCTGAACAATGAAAGCCCAAGGGCACCACCGATTTCAGAAACCTCATCAAGGCCTTTGGTGCCTGATCATTCTGGCGATGATAACAATGGTGGGAATGGGCATGGGCATGGGCATGGGCATGGGCAGGAAAGAGTCGCTACGACTACAGGCATCATGGCCTTCGAAGAAAAACTCAAACGCAAGGGGAAACAGACCGCATGCTGTGGCCTGCCAGTGTGGACGTTTGTCCTCATTGCGACTGTCATGCTCATTGGAGGGTGTATTGGAGGTGTCATTGGAGGTGTTCTTGGAACTAAGAAAGCTGCAGAAGCTGAAAAGCAAGAAGACCAAGAAGCTCAAAAGTCCAGCGCTTTACCCATTATAACCGTCACTGCAACCCCTCAGATGGATGCGTCCTTGATATCCACCCCCACCTATCTCAAACAAATACCTACCGGTCACTATATGGTTCCTTCCGGTTATCAGAATGGATCAGGGCTTTGCGTGGACGAGACGAATTACGGGAAAGCCTGGAAATGCTTGCAAGCGCCGAGCAAACTCGAGATTTATATCGACGAATACAAAGGTCACCATTCTATCAGTTTCGACGACAGTACTCCGACCCCGACCTTTACATATGGCCCTCAGGCACCGTATTGGCCTGCATCGCCTACGCAAACATTGAGTATGGCAATTGATACCACAGATGTTGGCATGGGCCCTGCTCTGTTTTTCCTCTCTCCGTTCGACAAGTTGGTCATTGTC